TCTATACATATTTATCTATCTGTTTCTCTATCTGTGTTGCTCTGTCTACGGCTTACTTCAGTTCCAGATTTAAGAGATACAAGATGCATATGCATGCACTGATATTTCTGTCTGCAGAGAAATAAGAAATACAGTGACTGCACCTTATATAAATGATCACTAGTACCAGGAATAAAAAATACTATGAAGAACCATCATACATAATCATGAAATTCTGTACAGCATATTAAAAAAGAAGTTATATTGTATTATTGCTAAACACAGACAGTAATTGGAAAAAATATTTTAATGAAATAGCACTTAATATTGCTCTCTAAGGAGCTGTCCAAATGCTAGAATACTTCTTTTGTAATTATATTTAAATGATAATTTCATATGTAACTATAAATCAATGTATTTCATGCCACAAAGTTGCTATCTTTACATGATAATCTCAGTTTTTATACTTTTTTGGTAGTCATGATTATTGTATAGAAAATTACATGCATGTGTATATGTATATGTGCGTAATGTATCTGTGTCTATACCTATTTATGTATATGTATATTTATAAGAAAAAAGTTTAAACTAATCATTTTACTCTGGTATGGAACAGTTGCTTGAACAGTAGTCATCTGTCACTTAGGCTATTTCTAAACTCTGCAAAAAGTCTATGCATATGGTTAACGCTAGAATAGTAAAAAAAGATTATAATATTCAATTTATCTGTCCAAATGAATTTTACTTCCTAAAATAAGAAATAAAGCACCATCATTTCACCAATGTTGGAATCTTTGCTGTCTCCAATACCAATATTATTAAATTGTTCAGAGATTTTACAGGTTCCTGCATCTTATTAGAGGAGGGAACCAGAGGCAATAAGGAGATTGCACTGTCATGGATTTATGACAGGCATGAAGAGAGGATTCTATTCTAATAGTTAATCATTGTACTTCATGGATGGACAAGCCAATGACAGTTTTATGTACAAAAATCAGAGCCTGCCTGAAAAATCTTTGTTTCTGTGGGAACATAATGTATATGTCCTTTATAATCATTGCCTACACAAAATCATATAATTGACAATCTGCCCTACTTTACTGAGAGAAGAAATAAGCAAAATGTGATATTCTAAAAATAGCATTTACTAATTGAAAGTCTAACTCTCTCCTAATTATAGGTATGTTACTATAGCCCTATAATTAAGGACGTTGTCATTCACTGCATAAGAATGTATGTGGGTTTCATAAGCAGAAAACCATAGCAAAGGAAAATGAAGACCTTATGCTTTATATCTCATCATTGTCACAAGATTGGCCACCATTTCCTTCCTTTTTTTTGTAGAGCCATCTCAATATTTCCATAATACTTTATTGTCATTGCAGAAAATTATTAGAAATCTTACAGTTCAAAATCAACTTCTAAAGCTATTACATATGCACTGAACTCAATAAAATAATATTAATGTTTACTATTAAGTGTTTATTATGAAATTCAAAATTAGTTTAGGCTTTATCTGAACCACTAATATCATCTCAGTACAACAGGGCATCAGTATAAAACAGAAATTTGATATAAGGTGCTTTAACCCCAATAAAGTTATACTGTAAAACCATTAGGTAATATTTCATAATTCTGAGTACTCATAATTCTTAGTTTTATTTTAGAATTGATCATTCATTTTAAATGGCTTTAAATTATTTTTCAGTTTCAGTCATCATTTGAAATTTGAGCAATGCCTTAAATTCTCAAATCCTTTTTCCTAATATAAATTCCAAGACACTTGCTATTATTAAAACAATTGGCTTTATTAACTCAGTAAAAATATAAGAAAGAATATAACCAATGTTTGAAACCCTAAGCTCTAAGATAGTATAAAATGGAAATGTTATCAACAAATTCACAATAAGGCATATTATAAAACGCCTAGAAGATTTAAGATCAGCAAATGGCAGAAACATCTCCTTCCATGTGTAATTTGTTGTTTTATTGGGTCTTAGGAGTGAAAACAGAGAACAAAGCACACAATGTACATCTTCAGTCTGGTTTCAGCCCACATCACCTATGCTCTCTTTCTTCCACCCTGTCTTGAAGGTACCACACAAAGGAAGCTCCAAATTCCCTAGAGCTGAAGGACAGATGGATTTAACATGGGCAGTGAATGTTAACTTTAGAGAGAGAAGTCAGAACTTCAATCATACCTCAGCTAAGAGACTCTAGGCCACACTAGGGTTTGGCAGGGGCGGGGGAAACATATAACAGAAATCGAATCACTTTTGTCTTTAAAATGTCTGAAATGAATATTAAATACATTGAATACATTTTATGTAACTCTAATTAGAAGAAATTCCTTGTCAGAAAGGAAATCTAATCATCAATTCCCCTATACTAATGAAAAAAAGTATATGTGAAAAGTATGATACTTAAAGATACAGCTGGAAAATTCCAGTATTTTAGAAAAAATTTCAGAGGTCAAAGCAAAAAAGATTTTTCTCATTGCCATCATGGTGCTCAATACATAGATAGTAAATTAATGTAGGTAACAAACTTGCTCAAAATTATTTAAGATGTAGCAAACCCTTTTTATTCAATCCAGCTTGGAGAGATAAACTTTATACATATTTTTTCACACTGTACACATGTCATTTCAGTGAAAGAGTTTAACAAGTTCCCCTTTCTATCATGGTGTATTTTATGTTCAGTGATTGCAATACAATAAATACTGTGGCCTTTAAATGACTAGGAGCCCACACTTCTTTCTCTAGATAAAAGAGATGTAAGGAACCACCAAGAAATGCAGACACTTCATCCATGTCATTTCATGAAGTTCCTTTAGGAGGAGCTGTTGAGAGACCCTGTAAGGAGCTATGAGGGTCTGCCTGCTTTTCAATCTTTACTAACATTCAACCGTCATGCAAATGAGCATGGATAGACCAAAGTGGTAAATACAGAGAGCTCTGTGTACAAAGAAAAGTTTGGCAAAAGAACCTTAATTAGGAATAAGACCTTAGTTTAAACAATTTGTTTTTTCCCTTCCCCTCCGCAAATTATACAAACATCAAAAACAGTGAAAACAGAGGTTATACCATGGAGGAGGGACATACAAAATAACAAAAAAAAATCACATGGTACCTTATAAATACGTTAGAAACAATAGCAAGAAAGAAAAAACCATTTGTGTCCTTATCTTGGGGTTCATTTCGCTTAACATCTTACCTGACCTTTAACAGGGATACAAATTGACTCAATGCAACAATGAGATGTATAAGACGCTATGTCAAAAAATGAACTTTACAATTTAGTCAAGGTGCAGGAGAGTGTAGTTGTGAGGATGGAAGGGAAGAGATGGTAGGGGAAAATCAAAGGAGGAGACAACAATGCTTGATAACAAATGTACTCATTACATTGCTCATGTAACTGTAATCCCCTCTGTACAGTATTTTCACAATAAAAACTTATTTTTTAAAAAAAAGTCCTTAGCTTATGTGTTAGCTGACTGACTGTGTTAAATCCCTAAAATTATCTGAGCTTTAATGATGCATAGAAGTTAAACAAAAACCATTGCCCACATATATTAGTCTATGTCTGATACTATCACACTTATTGAAGCCATGATTATTTTTTTTTAAACAAAAACCCTTTAGGTCAAAATACTGGGGCTAAAAAACCAACATTAGGCAGCAGCATATCTGGTCTCTGGTAAGAGCTTTGTTAAAACCAAGTAGAAAAGGAGAAGGAGAAACAGACACATGCAGGAGACTAAGTACACAAAGAGGCCTTGCTACACAACAATCTGCTATTTCAGAACTAACATAAGTCCCTAAGAACTAAATTAATCCTGTTCAAGAGCAGTACCACTCATGACCTAATCACTGATTGTGAGGCTACTCTCTGAACTCTCTACTACCTCAACCTCAGCACACAGGTAACAAAGATTCTAGCATATGAACACTTTTGCACTTAAGTGGAAGTTCTTTTTTTAAAATTTAATTTAATTTTTTTTGTGAACATACTGTACAGAGGGGTTACAATTATATGGGCAGGATAATGCGTACATTTCTTATCAAGCATTGCAGCCTCCTCCTTTGTTTACCCTTTAAGTGGAAGTTCTTAATGACATAATCAAGATCCTACCCTCTGGGGTACATACCCTGGTTGTACTCATTAGCTGTGTATTTTTCATCTGGTACCTTTCCTTTACCATACCTTTAGCCCCAATTTATTTGTAACCAAAACCCAGAAACAATGTAACCTAAAATAGTGTTCATGTTATTTTCCTACTGCTTTGACCTTTGGCCAAGATCTCACTCAAGCTCAAAAATATTCAAAGATCCATGTGGGCTATCAGTGATCATAATATGCCATATATACGGGCCAGAATTAGTCGGCTGTATTTAAGCATTTTCATACAATGTTATAGAAATAATTATGACAGCATCAAGCACATGGACTTATCCAGTGTATGTAAGATCACAAATTAAAAGAAGTTAGAATTTCACTTACATATATAGTTGAAGGCCTACGTTAACTATTTCTTGAAGGGTTTGCATGACAAAATTAGAATTTCCACATTAGGATCATAACAATATCCTGACATGGAGTCAACATAACATGTAAATGTGGGTCTTTCAATCACAAACTACACAAAATATGTGCAATCATAATTATGCAAAACAAAAGATAACAAAACAATAATATAAGCATCTATATTTTGCTTTAATTTTAACAAAAGATAACAAAACAATAATATAAGCATCTATATTTTGCTTTAATTCCCAAAGGACAATCAATTTTAAGGAGATTAGGTTTCCATGGCAATATTGTGCGTTGTTTTTCTATGTCTTAGGAATGAATAAACAGAAATAAAGCCATGGACAGGGATAAGGAAAGAACAGAGGTAGAGATGGCAGTGAGATTACTTTCACATATTATCTGTACATAGACCATGGGAGGAAGGAGAGAATTTCAAGAGGTTAAATTTTAGGAACAAAAATCTGAAATTACAAAGCAGAATCTCTTACCCTGAAAAACTCTTTAGTGGAGCCAGAGTCTAACGTCCCATAAGCAATCTCTGTTTGCTTAGAAAGGTCCTCAGCACTTTCGATGGGAGATACCATCCTCTCTACAGTCAGGAAGGCAGCTAAGTTAGCCGTGTAGGAGGAGATTATGATCAGGGTAAAGAACCACCACACACCTCCAACAATGCGCCCAGAGAGGGATCTAATAACAAGTATGAAATGGATTTGTAAAGTGAAATGAATGACCTAATAAAAAATCAGGTTAGTAACATATACAAATATTAACTTAAAAGGGAACATTTCACTTCATACTTTTCATATATTTCACTTCATATTTTTCATATGAAGCTAGAAATTAGTAAAAATTTTAGGCACAGAATAGAAATTAGCTAGTTTGGATGACATATTCACCTGACACATTGAGATGTGGGACTCTTTGGGACTCATCACAGCTTGATGCCCAAATAGTTTAGGGTATGAAATCCCACAATGAAATAATTTTTAAAAATGTGTAAATAATTCACCACATACTTGTAATACATTATCTACATAGTTACACATGAGCCATATACTAAAAAGAAAACCATTAAAGCTTATGACAATATTTACCAAAAAAAAAAGAGAAAGAAAAACATAAAACATCCAAACAGAGAAAGAGGATGAAGCAGAGATGCTGATTTAAGTAATTTAACCACAGGAGTTCTAAACCCCCCAAATGCCCCAAAGTTTTATCAGGTTTCTGTGTGTACAAGTTATAGGTATTTGACAACATAGAGGAGAGAAAAAGGAGGAGAATCTTACTACAAACAAAAAGGTTAACACAAAACCTAACTCTTAATATATAAAAGTAGATATTTTCATGGTATGAGCCACTATGACCTAGTTACTTCTGTTTCCTTATTAAGAATAAAAATCAGCCAAGCGCTGGTGGCTCACACCTGTAATCCTAGCTACTCAGGAGGCTGAGATCGAGGATCACAGTTCAAAGCCAGCCCGAGCAGAAAAGTCCATGAGACTCTTATCTCCAATAAACCACTCAAAAACCGGAAGTGGCGCTGTGGTTCAAGTGGTAGAGTGCTCGCTTTGAGCTGAAAAGCGCAGGGACAGCGCCCAAGCCCAGAGATCAAGCCCCACAACAGACCAAAAAAAAAGAATAAAAATCACCCAAAGAAAACAAGGTAGTGAATATTTACAAGTTTGTTAAGATAAAAATTTCTTGCATGAAATATAACAAACTAGCAATATTTCTGTGACCATATCTTCTTACACACAAGGATTTTCACAAGTTTGAATTACTAGACACCTCAAGATTCCCAATAACATACCTAAAATTTGAAGTACATAAATCTAGATGTGTAAGTACAGGAAAGGAATTTACTGTATTATTTTAAAACATTTTATAAAATTCTAAATTTAATAGGGAACATAAATGCAATTATTTCAAATATTGTTGTCATTAACAATGCTCTAGAAAATTAGACTTGAAGATGTAATCTTTCTAAAATTTGCCATCACAAAAAGTTTATCAATGTATCCCTTAAACTAAATCTACTGTCAAAGCATTAAGAAATACACTATTTTTCAGGAGCCTATAATCCTGGGTTCTCAGAAGATTGAGATCTGAGAATCATGGTTTAAAGCCAACCTAAGCAAAAAGTCTATGAGAATTTTTTTTAATATCCAATTCACCAACAAAAAAAAAAAAACCCTGGAAGTTGAGGTATGGCTCAGATGATAGAGTCCCAGCCTTGACAAAGCTTGAGACCCTAAATTCAAGCCCCAGTACCAGCAAACACTCTCTCCCTCTCTCTCTCCTTCTCCCTTCCTCTTCTTCCCGCTCCTTCCCTCTCCTTCCCTCTTCCTTCTCTCTCTCTCTCTCTCTCTCTCTCTCTCTCTCTCTCTCTCTCTCTCTCTCTCTGTGTTACAATGGACAGTAATAGGTCAAAATTTTTGAAGGATAGTGATAGGATACACCACTCAATCAAAATAAGGGGCGGAAAACCAATTAAAAGGAAAATTTTTTTACAATAAAAATTTCTATTGTTTAAAATCAGAGAAGTGCCAATGAAAAAATGAGATTTATAGTACATCTGTGAAATGTGTAAATAAATAAGCATTATAGGATATAGAGTTAAATATGTCTCACACTACATTTTGCAAGAGATGTGACAAACTTTTTGAAAAACTTTCATGTAGACATAGCTACCTTCAAAATGTTCACTGTTTATCCCAATAGCACAGGGGAATGGGTGAAGTAGAGGACACGTGTCTTTTATGGAGAAGGGCAGATGCACCTCTTTACTTCTTAACATAAGGGTAGGTCAAGTGCTGTTTCTGACTATATGCCACAAGATAACTTAGCTATGTTTAATAATAATTTTTATCAATCATTGCTCCAGTTGTAAAAGTAAACACAAGTATCATCAGTCATCCTCTGTTCAAGTGCTTAAGAATACTTAATGATATTAAATATGTTAATTGATTTCAAATGTAAAAGGAGCTCAAATCTTTACTGGATTTATAAGTCCCAAAGTGAAAAGCATTGGGTGAATTTTTTCATAAAATGTATATGTTTTCAATGTTTGAAGAACATCACTTAATGCTTTTTGAAAGAGTTCTGAAGAAATTATATGAAGAGGAGAAAGTTCTATTTTAGTTTATGATGTAGATAAAATTGTTTCCAGAATTAAACACAAATGTTACACCTCTCTTCATATACACTAAAGAAACAATAAGTACAGAGATACTATCAATTTTTTTCAATGCCTTTAAATCTCTTTAATCTTTATTTTTTAATAGTTATTAAATGACATATACTTTAATATTCAAGTTGTTTAGATTGAAGGGAAAATCCCAAAGCAGCCAGGAGAACCAAAAAAATCATATTTATAGAAATATGATCTTCTAACTCTTTTGTGATTCGCTCTTCAGAAAACTGTATCTTATAGTAAAAAGATTCCAAACTTAATTTCACACAAATTGCCTAGTCAAGGAGTTCAATAAATCATTCTGCTAAAATTTAAGTGTGTTCTATTAATATTAATGATATAGTTCGATATCACACTTTACTTGGAAAAGTATGATAAATATTTTTTAAAATATTTAAGGAGGAAGTGGAGCTATGGCTCAAAGCCGTAGAGCACCAGCTTTGAGCAAAAAAAACTCAGGAACAATGCCAAGGCCCCAAGTTCAAGTCTTACGACCCACAAAAATAAATAAAATAATTTAATTTAATTTAATTAAGTATTTAAGGAGAATTTCTATAGTGACCTGCATTTCAGAGCTCTTTGAAAGGGTAATATCCTGTTCTACTCTTACAACATGGAGCAATACCATAATCTAAAATATGACACTTTGGTTCACATAAAATGCCAACACTTTGCTTTATGTTCAAGTGAATGATTAAAACATATAGAACATAAGGAGAAAGTGTTTTAGTAAAGTGGGGCTTGCTTATATATTTCTGAGATGAAATCCAATCAACATTAAGGAAATATGTTCTACTTAAAATACCTGTATATCTTATGAAGAATAAAAATTACTACCTGGGAAACTGCAATGAGTCATGACTCATGAATGGAATCAAAAGAACATAAAGAAAATGCCCTGAGTTGAAAGCAGGCTTGATAAAAATGAAGCGCCTTCTATGTGTCATAATTTATCTTGGGATATTGTGTTTCAGTCACTTGCTACAAAGATTTCCCACTCTATGACAGTACTGGGCTTGAAAAATACTATCTGTAGTACCATGGTGCATGACAGACCAAGAATTGTAGGAATAGTGACCAGTGGATTCTATTTTACCATATACTCCCCCATACTCTGAATAGACAAAGCATAATTTATGTCACCCAGCATAATAATCTTATATCTGAGAATTTGTTAACACAATACATAGAAGGCTTTCTTACCAGTGGTGAACCATTTTTTGGTATGTTGTAGACAAAAGTATTTTTGACACTTGAATTTGTTTACATGTATCATTATTAGAAATTTCTCTGCATATCTGGAACTTAGATAACTAAATACCTAGATGTAATTGTAATCTATAGTTTGTCAGAGATGTAGTATGTACAAGTGTGTGCAAGTGTATGTGTCACACAACCCAGAAAGATATTATTGACATATTTCTAATTTAGTGAAGTCCCACAGAGAAGCTTTAGGGAACATTGTAGGACCAAGATTTTGGCTTTAAATTTCTAATTTTTAAAATGTTGTTCAAAAAAATAATTGAAGAATCATGCTGTTGATCACTTCTGTCTAGATGGTATATATCCTTTCACTCCGTGAAATCTACTAACATGCTTTTTATAGCATACTTTTTTGAATCTATACTTTTTTGAAATCATTCATTTGTAATTCACAAAACTGCTAAAAAAAAAAAAACTAATAGTGTAATGAATTAGAATCAGAAAAGGCACATTCTTCACTGGGTAAGATAGTCCTTAGAATCCAGAGAGGGTAATCTAGTCCAAATAAAACTGAGCCAATCAATAGACTAAAATCTATTTTGGCTTTACATGTTAAAATTATCACACCAGAAAATAGGTGAGTTATTGATCTGAAAAACCCTATATAGTTTTCCTCCTTATTCATATATGAATAGCAACAACAGCAATAAATGCCTTGTGATGAATTTGTTATAATTAGGGTTTATAGGATGAAATCTAAATCTCTCTTAATGAGAACAGAATCATATATATTTATCTCATCATGTGTATAGTTCCATTTATTATGGCACAGGCTTCTATAATGAAGTCTTCTCCCTGGTTTTCAAGATACTCAGAAAATATGTCATATTCTTTGAATCCATCTATCTTACCTTAAACTGAATTTTATGTCTTTCCCATACCATTTCCATGAGATGAAGTTGGAAAAATAAAAGAGATGGAATGTGTATTAATGAAGTTTTTTCTAACAAGATGTTGCTTCTGTAGTTCATAAATCACATTGCCCATTTTCCCAAATACAGGTCTGTGTTTCAACACACAGATGACTGTAAATTGAGAATATGCAGCAAAAACACGGTACCCCTCCAAGAAGGCATGGAATGAGAGGAACCTTATGCATTTTGTAGCCTCTCCATGGTGTACATAATTTCACCAAGGAAATAAATGATCAATATTCCAAGAATATTGCTCAACTATTTCTCAGGCTTACGCCGATTGTCAAAGTCTGTCCTTTACGCATCTTAGATTGGCTGGACAAGCAGTCGGCAGCTGATGACATCTTTACAGTGAATTCATATACACCATGAATATCTTCTGGAGACCTAAAATGCACAAAGTTGAAGCAGATGAGTAACCAACCTTGGCGAAATATCGCATCCTTGCTGCATAAAGGCACCCAAGGAAAACCAGAGACTATTAAAAATCCCAAATTCATTAGTTGATTCACTACTCTGTGTTTCTCTTCCATCTTCAAACTCCTCAGTGTGCCACTCGTAGGGGCTAAATCTGCTGACCAGGAATAAAACTACACTGACCCCAATGTAGGCAAAAACAATGCACATCCAGATCTCATAGGCTAAAGGATCAAGAAATGAAAACACTCCTGGTTTGGACTTCTGAGGTTTCTTGATCATGATAGATATCCCGAGGCTCATGAAGGGCTTGGAAAAGTCAATCACTTCTTCTCTCACAAGAGTAATGGTAAGTGGGGCAATTGCAATATCAGCTTTCTGTAAAGGAAACAAAGGAAAAGTGATAGAATCCAGAATGTGGTCAGAAAGGGGTCTTGGTTACATTATGGGATGGATGGGTTAGGAAGGGAATTCTGAGAAGTGGCAATAACTGTTGCTCTGGTCAGATCCCAACAGGCAGAAGAGTAATGTGTTTTCTAGTCTTCCTAAGTGAAGGCTTTCTCTAGCTGACGTGGCCAGGATAGTAACACAACTACATCAAATCTATGCCGGGCAGCCTACAGATAATACCTATGGAGTATATAATTTTACAACTGATGACATGTGCTAATCTGCAAGTCAATCTGCAGTTTACTTCTGGCTTCCCTTTTCAAATGTTAACAAGTCAGTAGGAGTATTTTTAGAGTAATGTGGCATGCCAGTAACTTCAGTCATGGGAACTGTTGAGGGAGGGGTTGGCCATTGTATAAACAACAGTGCAAATGGAATGACTTTAACTATGAAGAGAGCTATACTTACCCCATATACAAGTTCTCCAACCATCCCATTCCAAATTTTCGTGTCTGCATCCCTGGCCCCATACTTGCCATCCCCAACAATGGTCAACTTGTACTTGAACCCACAATGTTTGGCGATTTCTGCAGCCAGGTCAACACAGTAGCCCTCATAGCGCTCATTGCCCTCAAGCATTTCATGGTTCTTCTTCATCATAACATATGGAGATTCCTATGTGGAACGAAAAGACTTTGGCTGATTAAAACAGTGAACTGTGTAGTATCATTGAGTTGTGTCCCATGGCTTAAGAACAACTTATTAACAAGATACTATGGAGCATACATCACAAGGAAAACATTACAAGGGAAAAAATATAATCTTAATGATGCTGAAACAGAGGTCCTCAAATGTCATTAAAATTGGGATAGCTGTGCTTTGCCATAATAGAGTAAAAATATACTCAAATCACTTGTAACTCCAAGAACTTATTTTATTCAACTTTGGATTTATCAGAACCTTATTTAAGATTAAATTTGCATCAGCTCCAATAACTCACCCAAAGCCATATATCATTTCTATCCCATGGGTACGTTTTCAGGTAAAAATCAGTCCCATAGCCAGTGATACACCAAGTGAAAGATGCTTGCCACAATGACAGGCTGATTCTACCACTGAAAGTTTCAGAGCTCACTTGGAGTATGAGATGCTGCAGAGGTAGCTAGAGAGTAGCTCTCCAACAAACACAAGAAAAGTGAGTCTGCACAGTCTAATAACCACTCTAAGTCCTTGGGAAGTGCTATCAAGGATATTTAGTATCTCAGTGAGATGTTGTTTCAGTGACATAATGAAACAGAATCCTCAATTGTGGAATTCATACTTATTAAGTGCCTACTGACGTTTATCCAAATCTCTTATTAGCCTGTCTATATTTGCATCTCATATTATTAGGATAATGATTCCACAAATTTATTTTCTCATTGCTAAAGTAAAACAGAATGCAAGTACTTTGTGATAAATTCATGTCCTGTAATGAACTCCATTTTCTCCATTTCTCTTTTCTAACTGTCATCCTGATTCACAGTTCCTTTCCATCAATCCAAAGCCAAGATACTCTAGTTGTAGTTCAATTTTACCTCACTCATTTAATATTCATTGGTTTTTATATTGGGCCTATGCAAATCACTTCATCCAAACTAGGGGTAAACAAAGGGATCAAGTTACTCATTAAAGAGTTCATTCATTTATTAGGAAGAGAAGTTGAAGGCATCATTACCCCGTATAATAAATGGAAGGATTGTGTTGGTGCAGAGTGAAGTAGGAATGACACCTAAAGGAATACCAAGAAGATGGTAAAGAATTTCTTCATACCACTCACATGAATAGCAAAGCATGAATTGTCTGTCAAGCTAGTGTTAAATATGGCAAATCTGTCAAGCATTTTGAATGCTTGAGCTTGAGCTTGTGCTTGGGTATTCTGTTTAGTTGACTAAATATAGAATAGATGATTATAACATTGCAAAAGAAGCTCTGCATTAGGTTTCATCCTATAATATAAATAGCAGCTTTCCTTGGCAAATAATTTTTATAAGAAAAAAAATGTCCAGCATAGGCAAATGTAGCTAATTACCAAAATTGTCGTGACAACAACAGTTTTATTCTCAAGCCCAGAGGTGTCATTTCCAGAAGGGAGCTCGGTAAGGGTAACAACCATTTTGTCCACTTCACTCCAATAGCCAATCTGTAAAAGGTCACAGCAGGTCAGTATATGAATATATGACCTCTCTATTAAAATAATTATATTTAAACATATATCTGAGTCCAAAATTATACCCACATTAATTTCTTATAGTCCGCTTCTTCATATTCCTTTCCATATTTCTATGAGTAATTTTTTTGGAAATGATCATGTAGAGATAAGACATTCTAAACAGTTAACTATTTTTGTGCTGGTACTGGGGCTTGGTACTGGTACTTAGGGCCTCACACTGTCACTTAAATGTTTTCACATGTGGCTGGTGCTCTTACCATTTGAACTACATTTCTACTCTTGGCTGGCTAATTTACTGATTAATTGGACTTTTCTGCCTGGGCTGGTTTCATACCATGATCATCACATCTTAGCTTCCCGAGTAGCTAGGCTTCCAGGCATGAGCCACCAGCCCTTGGTAAACTGTGACTTTTTAACATTAATAGTTAAAAGAAAATTGTTGAATTGGTCAGTTACATGCTTATTTGTAGATCTGGGTTTTTGTTTTCCCTTTGGAAGCTACTAAACTTTTCGCAGTAGTTCTTTTCCTTCTCATTAAAGTATTTTTTTTTCCATTATAGCCCTAAAAGTATAAAGTTCTACTTACAGGTAATTTTTGGGGGTTTCCATATCAAAAAAGTTTTAAAAAAAGTTTAAAAAGTCTGCTACTAGGAGTGGCTAACATCTTTGTAAACATTCTCTACTGGACTCTTTGGAAGCTCAAAGGTGAGCTAACACCTACTCACAACACTTGCCTATAAACCTCTAAGGATTTACCTTCCGCGGCCCATTAGTTTTGAGTTCCATGATGTTAATGGTGTAGTTTATTCTTTTTCCATTCTGGTCAAACTTTATGTTTCCTGACAAACCTTCAACCTGAACCTAATGATGAAATGAAAAGAAGAGTTACAAATCTACTCCAATGGAAAAGCAATTCTACAGATTACTTTCACTGGACTCAAGTGGAGATTACATCGCTAAACTTTCTTTCCATTCTTCAACCTACCTTTTGGAAGAAATAATGTGACCTATAAGTTAAAGATAAGGAATAAAACAAGAATGACTAGTTTGGCAGGGAAAAAAGTGTTAATGACCATATGAAGCCATCATTACCAGCATTTTATGACACTGACCTGCTTGAGAGCCCTCTCTATTTCCACACCCTGTCCCCAGGGCACTGCTGGGTTGGCCAGGCAGTCTCCAGCATTGCCCCTACGGGAGATTTCAATTCTTTGCTTCCGTAGATTTCGGAATGCTTCAGTCATCACTTGAACAGCATCATAAGTCAGGGCAGAAGTGTACTGAAAAAGAACACACATACGTCATAAGAAGGGGAGAAAAGTCAGAACTTCACTGCACATGCATAATTCAGACTGCCCTCGGCTTCACATATGAGGCAGGCCAAATTCAAGGAACTAAGCACAGCGTCTGCATTTAGAGAACTCAGAATCCAAGAAAGGCAGAGGAATACGACTATGGAATGCATTCTCGACTCTTTTCTAACTGATTTATCATTAAATCATTGCTTTAAGGCTGGATATGATGATGCAAAAATCTCAAATTAACAATAAATATTTCTTCATCATCTAATGAAAGATTCATTTGTCAATAATGGGAAGAATACATATTTTCTCTAACCATGTGGGTGCATAGATCTTGGAAGCAGTTATGGAAGCTCCCTTAGTGGTTTTTACAATCACATGTAAGAGGCACCAAACTTCATGATTTTATTTCCCGTTTTTAACAATCATCTGTCCAAACTTATGATATTCAGAGTTCTTTGGAACTAAAACCAAGCAGTAAAATGTACAGAATGTTAGTAGCTGAAGAGGTTTGAACATGGGCAAATATGTTACCCACTATCATCACAGACAGGGCTATAGTAAATGAACAATACAGTTTGATCTTAAAGTTTTACTGAATGCTAAGTAAATTTCATTTATCATTTTCAGTTTTAAGTTACTCAACTGTAGAGGAAATCCAGAAACAAATCCACAGAACTTTGGAAATAACAAGTGTGCACCCCATGCCCAGCGATTGTTTGGGATGGAGTGTCAAGAAATTTTTGCCCAAGCTGGCCTCAAACCCAAATCCCCTAATCTCCTCCCACGCAGTTAGGATTATAGGCTTGAGCACTGCACCTGTCCCTAATATCCTCTTTAATAAAAAAGGATATAAGACATGGCTCAAGTAGTAGAGTGACAGACTAACAAAAAAGCCCAGCAAGAGGGGATTGATTTCAAACCATAGTACCAGCAATAATAATCATAATCATAATCATAAAATGCAAAACAGCTGAATAGATTTTTTCCAAATATCTTACAATATCCATATTTCATTTTTTAAAAATGTTATATCTCAATTTTTTCAATCATATCTATTTGAGGCAAATATCACAAAGCCCAAGTGGCAAATACTTCTTCAGGTATATAAAAGCAAATATCAGATATATTGAGGCAAAAATGTAACATCAGCATATATTTGCCTCACTTCTGTTTCTCTAGAAGAAAATAAAAACAATTGATTGATTTGCTTTCTTTAAAAAGCAATCAGTTCATTGCCAACTTAATTCTAACATTGATGTCTAAGTTTCTGAATGGATAATAGAAACTAAACTGAACAAATGAGATGCTAAGAAAATATTGCAATTTACATTAAAAATATGATAATAGCTGAAAGCCAATATCTTCATTGAGTCAAGCCACTCATATAACTGGAAGAAATCCATAAAAGTTATCTACTAAATGGTTCAGAGGTCCACAAATGTTGATGAACTACATTAAATAAGATTAGGTTGAATGAACTAAAAGCATTTAGATCCATGCAGCCCATTCTCATTAAGCCTTAGAAGAAGGGCTCAGTGGGAAGAAGAGTCCTTTCAACCTTTTGTAAATGTTCAAATCTAATCAAGTCTTAAGCCTATTATCATTTTAAATTAAAAGTCACAGTCACTGAAACACAATTCTGGGCTGACAGAAAATCAACCACTTCTGTATCCAGAGTGCCTTTTGGTTTATGTTCTGCATGTGTGGCTCATTTATTTTCCTAAACAAGTATGCTCACAGTTTTGATTGCATAGTTAAATATTTCCATTTTATTCCACCATTCAGTAAAGTAGATGTAAATTAATTTAAGGGGAACATGATGGCAATATAACTATCACCTTCTTTGAAAACAAATATTGCATTTCTGCCCTGATGTTTATTTTCTATGAACTCTCTCAGCTGAGCTAGAAACTTGAATTTTGGGAGGAAGGGCTAGGCTCTGTAGTCCTATTTTGTAATCACATCAGCATCACACTTTCAGAAGAAATCAGGAAAATAATTTCTCTGGCCTATTTTCCAAATGCACTTCATTTCATTTTAAATCTGTATTTGTTGAGACATATTTCTCAAAGATTAAATGAAGTGTGCATTTTAACTACTTGTGGTGTAGTTATCAAACAATTAAATCATACATTGCTATAATTAGAAAGCTAGAATACAGTGTTTCTGACATACATATAAGAAATGGGTATTTGAAAAAGTCCTTATTCATCTCAAATTTAATGTAAAAAAGGATAAATAGAATTCATTGTAAGATTTTATACATTATCCTAATGACTATATTTTCCTAAACATGTTACTCAATTATGATGACATGGGAAAAGATATTTTTTTTAAATAGCATTAATTAGGGGTTGGGAAGGTGGCTCAGTGGTAGAGCGCTTGCCTTGCATGCCTGAGGCCCTGGGTTTGATTCCTCAGCACCACATAAGCAAAAACTGAAAAGCCGGAAGTGGCGCTGTGGCTCAAGTGGTAGAGCGCTAGCCTTGAGCTGAAGAGCTGAGGGACAGCGCCCAGGCCCAGAGTTCAGGCCCCACAACCGAGCCTCCCCTTCCCCCCAAAATAGCATTAACTAGTAGGGAGGTGGTACCTCATGCCTGTTATTCTCAGGAGGCTGAGATCTAAGAATCAAAGTTTGAAGCCAGCCCCAGCAAGAAATTTTGTGAGACTTTGTATCTCCAATTAACCACCAAAAGACTGAGAGTGGAGTTGGGACTTAAGTGTAGAGCTGTAGCCTTGAATGAAAGCTAAGGAACAATGTCCAGGCCCTAAATGCAAATCCCAGTATTACTAGCAACAAAAAAGAAGTGCTAATCTTTAGATAGCAATAAAATATTACAAAATTGCCTCTGAAGATCCATTTTCTTTCAAATATGAAATTTTGTTGAGTATAATTTGAAAAGCACTTCATTCAAAATAAAATTCATCCAGGCACTGAAGTCACTCAGCTACTTGGGAGGCTGAGAGCAGAGGATGGCATTTTGAAGACATCCAGGGAAGAAAGATTCTTATCTCCAATTAGCTACCAAAAAGTCAGAAGTGGAGCTGTGGCTCAAGTGATAAAGTAACAATCTTGACTCAGTGCTCAGGCCCTGAGTTCAAGATCTAAGACCAGCACACACATAAAAAAGAATAAATAAAATTCAGAGACAAAACTGGACTATTTGTTATTGTGTTATCTTGGGGCAAGTTTACTAGTGTTAATGTTTAACTGTTCTTTGTGAAATTAGAAGCCCAATGGCTCTTCATTATCTGAGTATTGGAAATCAAGGTGAGGAAAAAGCAGAAAATTCATATTTATCACTTCTCTATATTGTAAATGTGAGGAAGACCTTTGGTATGCCACAGAAATGTTTATTCCAGTAAAACTTGAATGATTCCAAATTGCAAAGTTTAATTTCACACAAGGCCAAAAATTTATGTGATGAAAGTGAAACTTAAATCCAGAACTTTGGTCCCTGGGGCACTTGTTTTGCATGGGACTGTCCCATGTCAGAACATTGTCTCAAATCCCTGGAAAAATCTCAGCACACTGGAACAAATGTCACTTTACTTCGCAAAATTTTGTCAAATAAGAGGAAAAACAGAGATGAGAAGGCTGGTGATCAAGCTTGGAAATGAGAAGCTGTAAAATAAAATATGTAAGTTGTTGACTATTAGTCTTACTTTTCTTTTCCTTTTTATTACTCTCCATCCTGATAAAACTAGTTCATTTTGCAGTGTTTTGGAAGCCATTCTGTGCAAAAAATAAAAAATAAAAAAGGCTCTCTGATCCAATAAATGCAGGAAATGGCTGTGTGTTATATGTATTATAGGCACCAAGGAATCTTGGAGTAACAATTCCAGGTTTACTGATTAGTCAGCATTATCCAGACTAATTACTACTTTTAAAATTTCCTTAACACTAACTGACTTTCTATAAAATGATACTTTGTGTAGCATACTTTAGCTTGTTAAAAGTTTTATGGACTGGAAAATCTCACCTGTTCATTCCTATAGTATAAAATGTTGGATAATAAAATTATTGTGCATAGAAGGATATTTCTCTAGAAGATCTTATACAACATGATTCTGTTTCTTTGTTTTACAAAGTAATTATTCAGAATTTAAAATGTTGGGCACTAAGAAAAATAAGTAAATTTATATGAAAATTTGAGAAAGTCTTTTTTTAAAGATTCCTACCAATGTATAAGAAACAGAGCCATAGAAAAGAGAGAGTAGGAGGGAATACATTATAAATCTAAAATTATTCACTTGTCTTAATTTCGAATTCAACAGCCGTCTACCCTCTGGAAAAGGACAGCATGTGATAAGGTCATCTTTAATTTACTGTAAAGCAGTTTGAACATGTGCCCTTTGAAACTTCACTGTGTAGAGGCAGAAAATCTTCATAAAGACTCCACAACCTTGGTGAGCAAGCCACATCACAAGGTTGAAATGAGAGTTCCTTGAACAAGAAACCACAATTAACATTCCTATTATTCTCTGCAACAGTCAAAACAATCTAATCTGCCGTGAAGAAAGATTATCCATGTAAAATGACTACATTCAAAACAACGTATTTTCCCCTAAATTACCAAAATTCATTTTTGACCTTGATTTGAAATCCTACCAAAGGCCAAGCATCTCATATCCACAGACTGGAAATGAACTTAAGGAATCAGATTTTTAGATAAGACTAATCATAAAGCATTATCTAGTTTCAATTAATGAAGTAGTCCCTACTTTCATGGGACTACTTTCATTTTTATGGTTTCATAATAAATTCCTCTATCCTATTCTTTGCATGCTTTACAAGCTATGAGGGGTAAAAAAGAAAAGAAAAGAAAAAGAGAAAAGCACATGTTATTCAGGAAAATTTATGTTTCAACTTTGGCATATGGAAGTCAAAGACGTCTACCTGCAAATCACTAGAACCTTTGAAAGGTGAAGAAACCACATGAGATGTCCCAACTTTGCAGAAATTAGAAATATTA